GCTTGCTTACTTACTTACTTACTCACATACTTACCTACCTACCTACTTACTTACTTACTTACTTACTTACTTACTTACTTACTTACTTACTTACTTACTTACGAACTTACTTGCTTACTTGCTTACTTACTTATTTACTTACTTACTTACTTACTTACGAACTTACTTACTTACTTACTTACTTACTTACTTACTTATGCACTTACTTACTTACTTACTTACTTACTTACTTACTTACTTACTTACTTACTTACTTACTTACTTACTTACTTACTTACTTACTTACTTACTTACCTACTTACTTACTTACTTACTTACTTACTTACTTACTTACTTACTTACTTACTTACTTACTTACTTACTTACTTACTTACTTACTTACTTACTTACTTACTTACGCCTGTTACCCCAAATGGGGCATGGGCCGCCGACTAGCGAAATAATTTTTTGGTTAGCATTTTTTTCAGCGAGTTCAATTTCTGCAGGATAGGGTTGTCGCTGACCCTAAGCCCAATCCTCCTCCTTTACCTGATTTTGGAATAACATCAGGAGATGCGACACCATGGGAACCGAAGTCCAAAAATAAGTTTATATGCCATTTGTTACATCAGGATACTGGAACGCATTGGTTTAAAATCTAGCGTTTTTTGACTCATCTAGATGAATCCGCCGTATCAATCAGCCAGGTTCGATCCTCAATTTTTGTCCTCTTACCTTTGTAAAAAATACTCGCACCAAGAGAAGGCATTGACTAGAACGTCCGTAGTAGTGGCTATAAACGCGTGACGATGTAAAGACATTTCAAGAGAGAGAGCGAAAAAGAGATGGAGTGAACTTCCGTTTACCCTCAACTGTACCAAGGCTACACTATTATTGATTCACGATAGTAATCAGTGGCCATTATGGGGTTGTGAAGACTGTTAAGTTACACATTTTTGAAACCGTGAATCAATCGATGTTAGACCACCATTTGAAACCTGAAAGCACTAGACGGCCGTTTCGTCCTGGTATGGGACTCCTCAGCAGTGCGCATCCACCACTCCTGCACCCCACAGGATTCGAACACTGGACCTTCGAACGCCTGACCACCGGACCACTGAGCCGGCATCTAACGGTGTTAATGTCTAATTGATCAAGTAAAACTGTTTCGTTCTAGTATGGGACCTATCAACAGTGTGGATTCCCGACTCCCTACCCGTACTCTCAAGAACCAAGCCTCGGTACTTCGGTCCGGACGACTAACCGGCATACAACAGTGGTAATATAAAACTCCAATCAATCCACGGTCTTGTACGACCTCATACATTAGTTTCAGTGACCAATTTCTCACACCCAAGTCATTGATCGCGAGTTCAAGCATTAGCGCGCAAAACGATAGGTCCTGGGTGTGGAGGTCGTGAGTACTCATTGATAATGGATCCCATACTATGACGAAACAGCCGTCTAGTGCTTCCTGGTTTGTAATGGTTGTCTAACATTGACAAATTTATGATTTTACTATGATAAGACACAGTCAGAATCATTCATATAACAATAGCTTTTATGTATCATTGTACTTTTATGAGCATGTATGTTTCGAGCATCGCTTACCACCTATGCACACACTGATTCGACTAGCTTTAATATTAACCGCCTATATAATTCGATTCCTATCTATACACAAATGTACGCTTTGATCCTATTCATTTAATAGCTCGGTGGCTCATTTTCTCTTCGGAACTCGTCGCATATCATTCTGCTCTCACGTCGTATGCTTGTGGTTTTATGACCTCACTGTTTTGCACAATCTTCTTCTGAATTCTATACAACCAGGACAAGCTGTACACAAAGACAATGAATGATATTCAATACCAACCATCACATAAAATTCACTGAACAATAGTTGTATATTTATTTTTGAAATATAATACAGTTAGTTAACAAATGTCATGGTTTCTTTCACAAGATTTAAACACACACAGACACGCAGCGTCACTTGTAAACAGTAATGTCAAACAACTATTCTCTTGGGTTTTAGTTGTACACACTATGTTTCCACATTATTAATAATAATAATAATAATAATAACAATAAATACCAAACATTATTTTGCGTTTCACAGATCAACTCACAAAAATGACACTGAAGCAAAAAAGATGACACAAATTTTCACTGTTGCCTGTGTTGTTGTTGTTGTTATTTTCTATTTATTACTAATTATCCATATTTAAGTAGTTTATGCTAGTTTGAAAAATAAATTATTATTATTTTGTTTGTTTTGTTGTTGTTGTTGTGAAATATAAGAAATTTTTTTGTTGATCTATTTATTATTTTCATTCAATTACTAATTACTGTCAAATTAAAATAAAACAAATTAAAACAAACAAACACACATTGATATTTGAACAATTTTTGTTGTTTTAATTATTATTGTGTGTGTGTGCGTGCGCGTGTTTTTTGGTTTTTGGTACAAAAAAATTAGATAGTTGACAGATAATAAGGAAATTCAATTAGGTAGTAAATTTTTTTAAGTTACAAATTAATCAAATGAAAGATGATGATGATGATGACGACGATGAGTATACATTTCACTTTATTTTTCAATGAAAAGTTGTAGACAATTTGTAAATTTGAACAGAGAAATGAGAAGACATATTTTGTGAGATAGTAGTACCATTTGGTGCTTTCTCGTCAGTCACATACAAGCAACTTGTTATTCGTGTGTAAATACAATTTTGAAGATAAGGTCAAAATTTTTTCTTATTTAGCATGACATTCACTCACTTAGAACCATGGTAAACAAAGGTCAACATACAGATGTTTTTGAACGCATAAAGTTGGACTTTTCCGACCAATCAAGATAGCTTCGAGTAGTTTCAGTGTGTGTGTGTGGGTTTTGATGTCATGTCACAACTCTAAAGGCTGATTTTGGGTCAATTTGATGACAACTCATCATCATTAGATGTTTTGCAATGGACGAGGCCGGGTTTCTTGATCGATCTCGAGATGACAGGCTAGGTGGATGAATCATGGATTTGATTAACCATCTTGGAATATGTTCCCTTATCCTGCCCTCCAATCGGCGATCTGTCCTAACCAGGTAACTTTCTCCGCAGTTACATGTGAATTGGTAAATATACAGTGGGATTCGGACTGAATCGGTCTTGGAGACTGGATTGGGGTAACTGTGAATGTTAGATAGATATGCATAGAGTAAGTGTGTATTAGTTGAAGGTATAACTGACAGATATTATGAAAACGCAACACTTCAGTGTACTGTATGTCTTATAAGTAACAATTAAATTATACATTTCGAGTTATACAATAATTGAATTCTGAACTCAAGGTCATCCGGGTATTTTGAAGTTAACTATACATAGCATAAATTTATGAAATGTTTGATTTAATGTAGTGCTATGTCATATTGTCGTACAAATAGTTGCGAAACTTCAAGGAGAGAGAATATTATCTAGCTTCATAAAACATTCCTAACAAGACAATAAGTATTTTTACATGCACGAATTATAGGAACGTTTTGAAATTTTGTTTTCAGGACCAAATCATGAATCAGTCATTGTGATATCACTATTGGAAACCTGGAAGCACTGTATGGCCGTTTCATCCTGGTATGGTACTGATCAACAGTACGTCTTCATGACTACCGCCACCCGCAAGAATAGAACTCAGGACTTTTGGTTGTGCATTGTTGATGAGTCTCATGTAAGGACGGAACGGCCGTCCAATGCTAACAGATTTCTAATGGTGGTCGGAAAATCAGTAATTTTTACTTTTTAACAATACCGTACGATTTGCATATCGTGGCATTTAAGTTATGCGCGAAATCCAATAGGCAGATACATAAAGTCTAGATGTTTCTTCTAATTTACTTACTTACAACTATTACCCGTCAATGGAGCATAATCCCCGGACTAGCATTCTCCAACCTACTTTGTCCGTTCCAATTCTATCCAATCGCTATTCATTAGTTTCATGTATATCTCCGTTTCTCAACATAATGTGCTACCTGGCCTTCCACTTTTCCGTTGGTCTTGGTTATTTTAGGTGAGGTCTTGAATAGTGTTGCAGTTGAGTGCTTACCGTAATGTGTGTCCTATTCACATATAGCGCATCTACCTGATATCTTCTTCAGCTGGAATCTGGTTTTGTTCTCTACCAAAGAAGGTTGTAGTTGATAGTATCTGGTCAAAGGATCCGGAGTATTTTACGTAGACAATGGTTAAAAAAAGCACCTGTATATTCTAGATGACGGCCTTCGTAGTTCTCCATTTTCCGCCCGATACAGTAAAAGGTTTTCGATGTTTCTACTGAAAACTGTTACTTTGGTGTTTTTTGTTTCAAGTTACAGATGTTGTTTAACTGTAGAAATCATGCCCTTGCTTTGGTGATCCTTGACACCTTCACATATGCATCAAATCCACGATGCTCATCAATGATGCCGCTTACATTTCCTCTCATTATTATACCATCAAAAAGGTATCTCAAAGCAAAGACTGAAATTCATGAAAACAGATTCTTAGTGATGTTTAATCTATAAAGCAGCCATCTTGTACTTCCAGGTTATCTAGTGATCTCCTAACGCTAACAGATTCAAGATTTCAATGAAAAATCTTATTTTTTTATTAAGAAGAAAAACGAAGTCACTCAACTATTTATTTTTTTCTATTTTAATTAATTTAATCAGTAAATAAATTTATTACTACTGATTTACCCGGGTAAATAAATAGTTTGACCTTAAGTTTATAAACAATGTCAGTTAAATAAATAAATCTGGGGTGATACATTTGTGAGATTTGTGTAAACTTTGGATCTGATTGGTTAATCCGTCCGCATTTGTGATTGGTTGATTCTAGCGATTAAAATATGATGTATGTAAATTGTTAATTGAACAAATTCAAAAACAGAAAATGCCAATTTAAACAAATCAATCTATTTTGTATAATTTGAATATTTCAACCAAAAAAAGAAATGGGGAACTTTTTGTATCAACTATTAAGACAATAATGAACACATTTTACGTTTGCATTATTAATATAATCTTGACGAATTTATCCTCTATTCAATGCGCTACAGTCTATCAACAACCACAACAAATTTATCCAACTGATTTTCAATCATTAAATTTAGGTTCATGTCTGTTGAATGGCGGCGATGTATTTTGTCAGAAATATCGACGTCATAGTTTTTGTTCAATAAAACATGATGAATGTTTTTGTTTACCAGGATATGTATCAGTTTATGAAATGCAGGATAGTTGGTATACATGTAAACTTTGTAAGTTAAAATGATAATCATGTAGTTTTACACGTATATATCCATATATACAATGTTATTGATTGATTGATTGGTTTGCAGTGGTTAATGGCTGATCAATAATGATCGAGAATGTTAAGCGACTGACGTTCAGTCTTGTATTTTTATTTTGGGGCAGAGTTTTGAAGGTTTGCGTTTTTACACATTTGAAATCATCAATCAATCATTGTTAGACCACCATCATTAGAAATCTGGAAGCACTGAACCCGGGACCTTCGGCATCGTAGGCGAACGTCTTACCATCGGCCGGCATTCAACTGTGTTAATGTATAACTTTGATTGATCTAGAGATTTTGAGCGACCTCACCCATTTGCCGTTGGTAGTTACTACCTACACCCGACAGGGTTGAACTCCATTGGTCGCGCAAAATCCCTAGATCAATCAGATTTAGACATTAACACCGTTGGATGTCGGCCCGGCGTTCGCCTACGATGCCAACGGTCCCGGGTTCAGTGCTCCCAGGTTTCTAATGGTGGTCTAACAATGATTGGTTGAATTTTTAGGCCAATTGTGAGAAATTTGAATAAAAGGCGAAAAATGTGTTATATGAAATGATCGATTTGAATGTTTAGGAATAAATTGTGGTGTAGTGAATACTTTTCATGGTTAAAGTAACTTGTTTACTGATTATTCTATGTTAATGTTTTCTAAAATTCTCAACCCCGTTTATTTTTGTCTATTTCGGATCAAAATTGTAAGATCTCGTTGAATTCTTTGTTTTATGGATGGAGTTTGGTAATAATATTCACTCCGTCTGAAGCTTTTCTAGGATTACTGCCAGTCTCAAGCTCGGATAAAGAAGGAAGGTTGGGTATGGAGTTAGTGACTTCCATCCCGTAAGAATCTGACTTACTGAAAAAAACCGCTAAACGGAAAAATAATTCGCTAATCGTTAACCTATGCTTTATGAAAGGTAACAGGTGTATGTAAGTAATTCTGACGATTTTGCTAAGTACTCATGTGGTGCGCGCTACTTATAAGTAGTACATGGCGCGAGTGAAAACGTAATGTATGGCAGCGACACCAAATGTAATGAAGGAGAACACAGGTGATGGCGACCGAATTGTAGTTAGCGAAAATTACAGAGTTGATTGGTAAAATAGGAAAACCATATCGTAAATCGTTAATTTGCAAAATATCAACCCATCATCAATCCATTGTATGACATTTCACTGTTTATGCGTTTCATACAAATTCCATTGTATTCCCACTCTTCCTTTCTTGATCTTCCTCCATCTTCTACTGCCAGACATTACGTTTACACTCGCGTCATATACTACTTATAAGTAGCGCGCACCACACTAGTACTTCTCATTTGAGTGTTATATATTGATATTTTATATTTCACAAGTGACTAAATATTGTTTAAATAATTTTTGGCGGGATAATGAAAAATATACTACGGATATAGAGAATAAATATTTAGATTTTTATAATTTTTCTACTAATAAGTAGCTAAACATATTCAAAAACATTTTTAAAGATATATATACTACTATCCATTTGTTTTGGTAGTGTGATTCTATTCATTTATAGTTAGGACTGTGATCGATTAGTCTGTGAAGTAAACTTCGCCTAACTGCACAAACTTGTGATTGTCTGAATTCAGTAGCTAAGTGGATACTGTGATGACCTTTGAAGTGAACGGTGCTGCGTTCGAATTTCAGAGTTAACATTAATTTTCAGATGCTGTTAAATCTAGCGAACGCATCCCAAATCAGTCGATACGCGCGTCCTGGATTGCCCTATCCTATTTCTGATTATAAATAAATGCATTAGTACTAAAAATTCACCAACCAGAATAATTTTCTATCAGTAAAATGCAACCAATGTGTACTGAATAAATACGAGCATTATTTCACTTAAGTTATCTTGAAAACTGGTGAATGCTTCTAATCAATTTGAAATATCGTTGAGTTTTCCATTATAGACTTATGGGAATGATTGTTTATTGACGAAATCACGAATAAATCATTGCTAGACCACCATAAGAAACCTTGAAGCACTGAAAGACGGCCGTTACGACCTGGTATGGGACTTATTAGCACTGCCCATCCACAACTCCTGATACTCACAGAATTCTAACCTATATTGTTGACCCACCTGGGGCCGGCATCCAACGGTGTATATGTCTAGCTTTGATCAATCTAAAGATCCCACGCGAACAAGATTGAACACCATTGGTCATATCTTCTCACCAGAACTACGAGAATTTCCACATGTAGCTAGTCACTGATGAGCAAACTGTACGACTTTTCATTGTCAATTTATGAAGATGTAACCTATACCAGGATGAATTGGTCAACGTCTTTCAATGATTCCATATTTCTAATGATTCATTGATGATATCAAAGTAATAAGCCATTTCCATCGTCTTTCTCTCAATTGCCTTTATTCATAACAATTTAACTCAAAGCATCATCATATAACTGTTCGGTTGTTTTATTTTTTTCTAAAAATAAATAATTTACAATTGAACAATTGAAACAGTCTAGTTAAACAAATTCATTATACTTTATAAATTACTGTTTCATTTACTATTTGACCTTAAGATTAAGTGATTTTCTTGAGAAGAGAAAAAAAACCCAGCAAAAACACAAAATGCCTGGCTACCTTGGATACTACTGTAGAGTAATTTCCAGTTAGGTATTCACTTGTTGTTGTAGCTGCTTTTTTTATTGTGTACAACAATAACCGAGTGAATATTTATTGATTTATGAGAGGAAGAAAAAACATAATGGAAATTCAATTAATGTGAATTTTAATTTCAGGCATAGAAATCAACTACTGTTCATCAATGTCCAAGTATTATTGATAATAATAATAATGGCTTTGATCAATATTCAATTTTTTAATTAGAGTTATGGAAATTAGGGTTTTTACACGTTTGTAATCATCAATCAATCAGTGTGAGATCACCATCATTAGAAACCTGGAAGCACTGAAAGACGACCGTTTCTTCTAAGTATGGGACTCATCAGTGACAGTGCGCACCCTCGGCTCTTGCCTCTCGCAGGATTCGAACCCGCGACCCTTGGTATTGTGCGCGAACAACTCAACTCTGGACCACTGAGCCGGTTGGCATCCAAAAACATTATTGTCCAACTGTAATTGATCTAGGGATTTTGCGCGAACCCAACCATTTGTATTCGGTGGTTACTGCCTACACCTGACAGGGCTGAACTCCACTGGTCACGTCTTCTCACTAGAACTCTGAGAATTTACTTAGTAAGCTATTCACCACTAGTGAGCACATTTTACGATATTTTCAGTTAGAGTTAGAGAGATTAGTGTTTTCATACATTTGAAATCATCAATCAATCATTGTTAGATCACCATCATTAGAAACTTGGAAGCACTGTTTAGACGGCCATTTCGTCTAGGGTATGGGATTTATCAGTGGCACTGCGCATGTACAACCCACACAACTCGCAGGATTCAAAGCTAGGACGGACGAACACCAAAACCTCTGAACTATCTAACGATGTTAATATCTAACTTCAATCAATCCACAACTGTCTTGCGCATCCTCATCCACTGTCTTCGGTGAGCATTGCTTCACACCCAAATACGGTTGAACTTAACTGGTCACAGCTGATGAGTCCTATACTAGTACGAAATGGCCATCTAATCAGTGCTTTCAGGTTTCCAATGATGATGGTCTAACAATGATTGAATAATGATTTCAATGTGTCAATACTGTATGTCTAGTACAAAATGGAATTCTTAGCACTGGAATATTTCAACAAGTTTCCTTGTACCTTGTAAAAAGACAGGTCGTTAACTTTCGATATACGCGCCCGAATAGATTTTGCAATCATTAGATTTAAATTGACGCATTAAAACAAACAGACTAAATGAGGCAGCTTGTTAAAAAAAATTTGATTTGTTCAAACAAGTGGCTCAGATATTCAAACAGGCCACGCAGGATTTCAAAATACTTGAAATATAAGAGTTTGAACATTTGATCAATCATTATTACGAAAAGTACAGAGACAATGAATTTTAAAAAAAATATGTTATGATTAGGTTCGACTCATCTGAATTATTTTCTTAGCTTTTGTACAATTTACATCATTCCCAAATAATTTAAATGTACTTGTATGACTATGAGGGCAGATGTTACTTCCCGGCTGCCAACACCATGGAAGGATTCTAGTTGTGAGAAGAGGCATCGACCCCATGACTTCGAAAGGAACTCGGCATTCGTCACGAGACGTCATAACTGTTCTAAATGAAGCTCTTCTAACTCTCAGAGCGAAACTGATATGGTTTGAAATGTTGTTTTCTGTTAGCGTTTTTTTAGCGAGTTAGTTTTTTCCGTTATGAGGTCACCAACCCCAATCCCTGGCCTCTTCCTTTATCCGGACTTGGGACCGGTAGAAGCCTTGAAGGGTCTACAGCCACAATCATAAAAAGACCCGTTTAACTGAAATTATGTATCATTTACAATGTATATTGCCAACAACCGCGATATCTTGGATTACGCATGTTTGTATAACTTGTACAACGACAAGTCGTTAACTTTCTAACTGCGCGCGCAAATAGATTATGCAATCAACAAATATAATTGATGCATTTAAACAAAAAAATGAGGCAACTTGTTGAAATCTTGTTCACAAAAATCAAAAATATCAACGATTCAAAAGACATTAAATATATTTTAATTTTTTAAAAAAAAACGTATTCTTAGGAAAAAAAACTATATTTCCAACAAATAAGGAGGAAAAATTTGACTAATTTTGTGAATGTTTCACCTTGAATCGACAGAAAAATAATGTATCTAATCCAAGATTATTAGCGATTGTTTAAAAATTTTCAAATGTAGTTCAATTAATTTTTTTTCTACGTTTTTATCTATGAAAGCACTGACAAAATCAAATAACACTGTTCTTAAGAAATAAATCTTGAAATTCCATCCTGAACTAATAATCATTTTTTAATTTGGTCAATAAAATCA